AATCTACTTTTCCTTCCTTTCTATTTACTTTCCCTTCCTTCTTCCTTCCCCCCCTCCCTTCCTTCCCAAACTTTTATTTATTATTCAGTGCATTTCTGAACCACAGACTCCCACTATTAATGGTTAATGGTTAAAAATAAAGGCAGAAGGCAGAGATCGAACCCAGGACCCAAACCCTAGCCCAGTGATGGCAAACCTTTTAGAGACCGAGTGCCCAAACTTCAACCCAAAACCCACTTTTGTATTGCCAGGTGCCGGGTGGGCGTGGCTGCCGGGTGGGTGTGGCCCGCTGGGTGGGCGTGGCTACAGTGGTCAAGGCAGATGGGTGGGCATGGCCAGCTCGATGTTGCTCCTGGGGAGGAATGCCTGTGGGTGCTGGGCAGGGTTGGGGGAGATCCAGGGGTCTCTGGTGGGTGGGGCGGTGGGCAGGAGGCTGGTTCTGCGGGGTGAGGCGAGGCAGGGCAGGGGTGCCATGTCGCGAGGCAGGGGCCGGGACGGCTGCTGCCTGACACCATCGCCCCCCGCACACAAAGGCCAGCAAGGGCATGGGTGCTGAAATGCATCTGGCCACATGGGACCTTGGCAAGTGAGCGGGCGGCTGGTTGAAGAGGACGGTTGCCATCTCCGGGGCATGGCGCGTGTGCCCACAGAGAGGGCTCCGAGTGCCGACTCTGGCACGCGTGCCATAGGTTCGCCACCACTGCCCTAACCCTTCAACCCCCCCTCCCTCCTCTACTCCAGCCTCCCAACCTTCCTTCACTTCTCCCTCCCCCGGATCAGATACCTTTGTCCTTGGTCTTGAGGCCTGGCAGGGTGAATGCTGAGAATATCCTTTTCTTTTTAGAAGTTGGGGAAGGCTCTGTCAAGGAGGTCCTCTCGGCTTGCTCACTCTTGAGTTCCTCAGAGGCTAGAAAACAGAGGGCCACCAAAGAGGTAAGAGATGGTGGCAACCAGGAGACCTGAAGCTCCATCCTCTTTTGCAGGAATCTCCAAACCTAGCAACTTTGAGACTTGTGGACTTCAACTCCCAGAATTGCTCAGCCACCCAAGTTTTTCTCTTTTGTTCTGGACTTCAACTCCCAGAATTCCTCAGCCAATCATGCTGGTTGGGGAATTCTGGGAGTTGAAATCCACAAGTCTTAAAGTGGCCAAGTTTAGAGACCGCTGCTCTTTTGGATCTCTCCTAATCAGGATGTCCTTCACAAGTATCTTGAAGGACCTTTTAGAAGTTGGATTGAGAGCAGAATTGATGGCTACCTATCAACTCTTTTGAGGGGGATCTTGAAGCAGACCCCACAAAGATTCCAGAAATGTTACTTTATAGTTGTAGGATGTGACAACAGACTCTTCAAAGCATCCCAGGTTACCTCTCTATCCAGTATCTCTCTCTATCCAGTTATTTTGAGGTTCTTCCTCACCATTTCTTAATTTAACATATAAATAAATATATTTCTCCTTTCCCACTACTGAGTTATGTCTTGGTCTGCTCTAACATCCATTTCTGCACACAGGATATCTCTACTTCTGTTATGATCCTGGGAATATTTGTAGGGTGGACATTTCTGATGGCCATGTTAATGTTGGAGGTTTAGTTGTGATGAAACACCTAAAGTAGACTGGGGCACCTAAAAAACCTGAAATGATAGAAAATTACAAAGTTGGAAGGGACCTCGGAGGTCTTCTAGTCCAACCCCCTGCTCAAGCAGGAGACTTTATATCATTCCGGACAAATGGCTGTCCAATCTCTTCTTGATGGAGCACCCACAACCTCCGGAGAGAAGCCGTTCCACTAATTAATTGCTCTCCCAGACAGGAAATTTCTCCTTAATTCTGGAATTCTGAACAATAAGAACCCATATCAAAAATATTTACAGGAGCAGAATTGTTAAATCTATCAGGAAACTGATTGTGTTGTTCGCAGTTGCATTGAGAGGGAACTGCAATGGCCTTTCAGATGCCTAGAGCACCATTTCTGGTTCGGTCTCATGTCCTAACCTCATTCTCCTGCGGAAAGATTTTTTTTTAAAAAATATTCCCTATATTTTCTTCTGACATGAATTATTACCTGTTCTGGTGTCTTCACTGGACAATTTTCTGGTCAACATCTTTGAGAACTGAGCTACGGATGCCTTCATCCTTTTCCTCAGACTGAGTTCCACTTGCTCCATGGACTGAGAGCGGACAACCGGCTTGAAAAGTCCTAAGGCACTCTGGAGAGAACTCTTCCTCTTCCTCGTTGGATCTGATGGGACATCATACTGGGACCCCAACGGTAGATCACCTTCCGAGTCGGACCTTTTCCCTATCCGTGATGCTACAACTGGTCCTAGACCTACCTCCACCTTGAGGGCACCTGTCTCTTCCTCTGCAGAACGTTCCTTAAGGGCCAACTCGGGCAAATCATCCTCCCTGAGACATATTTTTTTCTCCTGCTGAAAAGGAAATTTGGAGTCAGGTGGCCTTTTGCTGGGCAAATTCTCAGGAGCTTTCCTGAAGCTCAGGAACTCAAACGGAGAGTAGACAATGTCATAGAGTTCATGAAAGTTGAGGAAAGCTGGTTCCACCTCCGTGATATCAAATTTGGAGGTCTTGCTGTCAGGACGAGGCATCTCCGAGAGATCCTGGATCTGCACAAGGGCAATTTCATACATTGGATAATCCAAGCCTTGGCCTTCATAAGACGAAGACATCCTCGCTTTCTTGCTCAGGTAAGACTGAAGACTGAAATAGTCTTCTTCTCCAGGATAGATAATATCGGCTTCTGAAGGATCTGCTAGGCCAATGCCACCTTCTCTCTTGCCTCTGCGCACCAGATATCTGCTTTTCGGTCTCACTGCTTGGCCGGGTGACTTTTGATGGACCATCTCACCTTGGGGTGAAACAGGTCCTGATTCTGGCCAAGGAGGTGTTGCTTTTGATCGGTAAGCCATCTCCTTGGCTAAGTTCTCCAGAACTTGAGCCTCTGTGTCCCTGTAGAGTTTGTGATCCTGGCTACTGCCTTCTCCAATGGAATGTGGTCTTTTCTTTAGAGTTATGGGGACTTTTTCTCCAGAGGTTCCAAACGGCCTCATTTTTGCTTGAGAATAGCCTGCTACAGCAGGTGTTTGGCCCTTGAGGACCTCACCAGGAGCAGATGGCAGGTGGTGGTAGAGCTCATACTTTTCAGCTTCAAAGAAAGACATCAGATCAGCTTGGGCTTGAGGAGGATGCTGAATCTCTCTGAGAAGAGACTCTCCTTCTGGGTAAGAGGAGGACTTTGGAAGTGAGGCCATCTGGGTTTCTCCACGAAGTATGGGTATTGAGGTGGCCCCTGGTTGGAGAGATGCTGGAATCAGAGCAGCAGCACTTCTTGGGGTAGTAGGAGATGGTCTTCTGTAAAGAGGAGATTCTCGTTGGGATGGGTGCTGGCTTCCTCCCAGAGAGACCATCTCTGGATGAACAGGACCTTCACCTTTTGCAACAGGTAGCTTCCTTTCCAGATGTGCAACAGGCAACTGATGTAAAGGCTTCTGCTTTGCACTTTCAGAGATTGAAGGTATGGCCATTTTTGCTTGAGGGATGTCCAATTTCTCCAGACCTTTCTTCTCTAGCATGGCTGACTTGGCCAAGCGGGATCCTGAGGGTTTCTGGGATGGAATTTGCTGATCCTCAAGGATAGAGAAGGCACAAATGTCAGCGTGCAAAATAGGATCACCTAAACCTCTACTCTCCACCATTTGTGTCCCAGGATAAATCAAGAATGGATGGCCTTCACGCACTGCCACAGTCTGTAGGTCTTTGGGACTCTTGTCTGGAGCACCGGCAAGCTGTTTCTCAGCCTGAAGCTGGGTGATGTGAAAAGGAACAGCTTTCAGAAGATGATGGCTTTCTTTTTGTTGAGGTTGACGTCCTTCAACACTCTTGGGAGAACTTGGGGTTATGTCATGGGACAGTTTTTCCTCCTTACTATCCCGAGACACCAAGTTTGGGATCTCTGATGGTTCCACTCTCAAAACAGAGCTTTCCCCCTTTGGAAAAATGGTTCCTCCATCCCTGTGAGGAGAAGACATGGATGCCTGCTCCTCCTCAATGTCACTTTTTGGAGCCAACCCCGAAGCAAAACCAGATTGCCGAGCTTCTAGAATCAGATCTTGTCTGCCTTGAGGTGATCTTCCCACAAAATGCGGCACCTTCGTTTTCTGAGCTAAATCCTCTTTTTCAGAGCCCTGTGCCAAAATCAAGGACTTCTTGTCCTGCTCAGGGCCCAACTTGGATCTTTCCTTGTCATCCAGTGGGACTAACCTTGGGTGCTCTTCGGAAAAACCCTCCCTAGCTTTTGCTGCTGCTGTTTTTTCGTCCCTCAGATGAGTTCCTTCTGCCGGACCACCGTGCGGCATGGTGTCCATATCTTCTTCTGCAATATCCTGCTCCTCAGCGAAGCTCCTAGCTCGTATTCTGTAGTCATCCAAGGAACGGCTCCTGGCGGATACTTGGAAAGTCACCTTGGGTGATTTCTGAGCAGTATCAAAAGAAGCTGATTTGATGATTGGGGGTCCATAACTTCCTTCTCGTCCCTTCCCCAATTCTAGATCCGCCAACGGTCCTGCTTCTTCACCAAGTTCAAACCGTTCTAGCAAGGGTTCCCGTAGACCAGTTAAAGCGGACTTTGAGTATCCAGCTTTCCTGTAAGATCTCTTAGCTCTTTCTAATTGTTTTCTTTGCCCTTTGCCTGGTGATGAGGGAAAATCGGTCAGAGTTTCCGACGGGTGGCTATAAAAGGTACTTTTGATGACACTGTGTCTCGGGACACAACCTGGAGATCGTTCCATTCTTCCTTCTTCTGGAGGCAACAATACAGCTTGATCTTGCAATGAAGCCAACTCAAACAATATTCTTCCATGGGCATCAACCTCTGAGATTTCTCGTTCTCGGACAGGATGTCCATCCAACTGTCCCTTCGCTGAAGGTTCCTTCAACCTTCTGGTTTTGATGGGTGGCATGGAGTCTTCAGGAAGTTTGAATTCATCTTCAAATACTTCATCTTCCTGATCATTTGATCCTTCCAGCACAGATAGACGAACTTCCGGAATGGGTCCGAAAGGTTTTTTTCCAGACGAGACCAAAATTTCGTTGTCCGAAGATGACCCACTGGTGCTGGAGGAACTGCTCTCTTCAACCAGTTGTCGGGAGACGCCAAGTGAAGTGTTCTTGTGATGCTTTTCCAAAATTTCTGGGATCGGTCTCATTACAAGCAATGACTTATAGCTCATAAGAGACCGCTGGACATGAAAGGAATGAAGGAAGATTAAGACAGCGGAAAAAAGAAAACTTAAGCCAGCCCAAACAGAATATGATAGAACCTAGAATCATGAGGTTGGAAGACACCCGGGAGGTCATCTAGTCCAACCCCCTGCTCATGAAGGAGATCCTATACCATTCCCAGATAAATGGTTGTCCAATCTAGTGATGTTGCATCCTGAAATGCTGCTATTATATCATTGCAGTCAAAACAACGATTTTACCTTAAGTAATTTTGCAAAAAATCTGCAATACAGGTGGTCCTCGACTTACAACTATTCTTTTAGAGACCTTCCTAAATTACAACGGCACTGAAAAAGGTGACATTTTTCACATTTATGACCGTTGCAGCATTCTCATGGTCACATGATCAAAGTTCAGCAGACTTCTGGTTTGCCATCGTGGCACCTGCGTACGCAGGAAGGCGAGCTCCGTCTTCTGCGTCCAAATTCACCCCTCTGGGGACCCTGGAAAGGGTTGAAAGTTGCCCTGTAGGGGTGACGAGCAAGGAGGGGACCCCTGCTTGATCGCAGGAAGGTGCAGCCCTTCTGCTTGATCCGGGGAAGCCCTTCAAACCAACGGGGGAAAGACCAGCTATAGTAATATGGCTCATCACTAAGCTGCTGACAGCTGAAGTCAAAATTACTACCGAGCACCTTTAAAGCAACGCGGATGAAACTGGGTGAGATCTGATCTTCTCTTTAAGACTTTAAATATCTTTTCTTGCAAAAGCTGCCCAAAGTATTTTTCCCCCTGTGAGGAGAGAGGGAAGGGAATTTCTACCCCACCCTCTAAGAACAGCAGCGACTGACTACCCAGGGGAAACAGAGTAATTATAAGAACAACTTTAATTTAATTGGATGCATATACTTTTGAAATTTGGGGACTAAAAGTTTTCCTATTTTTACTGGAGATGTTGGTTTTTATCTAAAAAGAAAAATAAACCTTGAAAAACTATTATAAAAACTTTGTACTTAAAAAGTTTTAAACGGCATCGGTGACATCTTTGGCGAAGTATGGTATTACAACTTGTTATTGACTAAAAGAGACTTGGCTTGAGGCCCAGACTCTAGAAAAAATTGTTTTGACCTTGACAGATACCACCTGTGAAAAACTCAGCTGTAAAAAAGGAACTAGGGCGGCATATCTAGCCTGTTTGAACTATGAAAGTAAACCTTTACTGATTTTCATAGTTATATGTGGGGAATTGCTTTCCTATTTCTTTACATGAGAAGCATCTGTTATTATACAAGATGATGGAATACTTTGGACTATAAATTCTTACTTGGCAAACAATTTCCACTATAAAGACTACGTACAACATGTGAAATAAAAACAAAAAAAATATTTTTAATGCTTGATTTTAAAGTCTTCAACTTAACACATTATCAAGAGAATATGGATGAAGATCAGGAAAAAATCCTTTCTATGTCGAAATCAATACACAAAACCATTCTTTCAGCTTGTAACAAAATAAGATGCAACATAAAGAAACAAGATGCCAGCTTAGATATACAAACCCAGATCTTGACTACAACCAAAGAACTAACAATGCAGAAAGTAACAGGAGAAGTAGAACAACTAAACACTAAGACAGATGACCCAATTGACCAACAAATCCAGCCAACAGAAAAATCAGAAAAGGAAGTGACAACATTGAAAATGGAAAAGACTTTTTACATAAATCAGAAGAAATTTGAGGAAAAGGAAGAATAATAGATTGAATGGAAGATAAACCTATCAGGACAATTGTGGAAAATTGGAGTAACAGGGAGGCGATTAAATGACCACAAGTGGGCTAGTTCTTCCCAAAAAACTGTAACCAAATGGTCTTTCTTATTCCAAATAATATATATAATAATAGAGGGAGAACTGTTTGAGAAATCAAATGTACTAAGATGGAAGGTCAGTTGGCAAAGGAAGAAAGCCAGAGTAAGGCTGAAAGAAACTAGGGTTTTGATCTATTAGAGGGGATTTTATACTACTGATTAGAGGATTGTATATGATGAAAAATAGATAATTTTAAAAAAATAAAGTAACACTATAATTGAATAGGTAAGATGTGTAATAAGACTAATAGACTTTTGGTTTAATATGGTGGAAAATAGATAACTTTTAGAATAGAATAAGATTAGTATTTAATGTGTATTTAAAATATTAGATTTTGTTATGAAAAGGAAAAAATGTAGAAGTTGAGATGAGGGAAACTTTGGTCACCTAAAGCTTGGAAATTATAAATACCAAATGTTAATTTGAATATTGATGGAAAATTAAAGCCTGGGGAAAAAAGCAATAAGAGGACATTGATTGTATATAAGAATTGAATATACAATTAAGATATGTATAATCTAAAAATTATTGGTAAATGTAACAAAGATGTTTTTTACTTAGCTGATAATAATAAGAACTATATTAGCCTAATATGAGATAGTAGATATTAAGGGAAAAAGAAAGGAAATATCTGATGTTGTAACTTGAGATTTGTGCTGAAGATTTATGTATGTTATTGAATTATTGATTACCCAGTCACCACGTTGCTTTTTAAATGTTTAATTATAAAATTAGAAAACTAATGAAATATTATTTAAAAAAAAGTTCAGCTGACTCAGCAATTTATTCATATTTATGACGGTGTCCCAGGGTCATGTGATCCCCTTTTGGGACCTTCTGATAAGCAAAGTCAATGGGGAAGCCAGATTCACTTAACCACCATGTGACTAGCTTAACAACTGCAGTGATTCACTTAATCACTGTGGGAATGAAGGTCATAAAATGGGGCAGAACACACTTAACATTTGTCTGGCTTAGCAATGGAAATTTTGGGGCTGAATTGTGGTCGTAAGTCGAGGACTACCTGTGTTTGTGTAATGAGCAGCATAGAATTCTGATAAATAAAAATAAATAAATAAACAATGACTGCTTAGAAGCCATGCTTCTCAACCTTAGCAATATTAAGACATGTAGACTTCAACTCCCAGAATTCCCCAGTCAGCCATGCTGGCTAAGGAATTCTGGGAGTTGAAGTCCACGGGTCTTAAAAGTTGCCAGGGTTATGAAATACTACCTTAGGGTTTTCTGTTAATACAGGGATGTGGGACAAGAAATCTTGGAACAACATTTAAACCATTTAAATATGCAATTAAAATCTAAATTATTCTTTTTCCAAGTTTGCCAGCTTCCTTAGGAATAAACAGCAAGGTCTGTATTGCATACATTCTATCTCTGAAATAAAAATTTAAACCATGCATAACAACGCATATAACGGACCCCAAAACATTGACACTAGTGAAGCCAAAATAATTGTGCATCAGGGAAGAGCTTCTTACTCACCTGCCATTTGCTTCGGGATACAAAAAAGCTGAGTGATTTTGTCTCTATAAAATGAGCCTCTTCAGACGGGGGCTTGTGCTGAAAAAGAATATATCAGTTTAAAAATAAATTTTGGGTCATATTTTCAAACACCCAGCAAATAACCTGATTTATTTGAAAACCAGGGAATCTTGCATTCATCTGGAATTGTTCAGTTTTAGGGGGGGAAAAAACAAGCCACCAAGTCAAAAGACACTGCTATTCCTTTTGTATTCTTGCTATAAATTACACGTTTTGGGAGAAGCCCACACTTTGATATAGCATCCTCCAAATTAGGGAGGTTAAAAATTTAAAATAGCAATTGTAACTGTGCAATCAGACCCCTGTCCCTGTCCTGTTGGGCTGCCATTTTGACTTGTTTGACCTCTGTACCCTCACAGGCATCCCTGGAGTCCAGATTAAGGGGAAAAAGGAGACGAGGATCAAAATCTGATTCTTCCAGTCTTTCAAAACTTACAGAAAACCAGGGATGAGATAGGCATTCCATCACACTTGGCCTGGTTCTATAAAGAGAAACAATAAACTAGGTTTCACCTGATATGTCAAGATATAGCTATGCATGAAAATAAATTTTCAACAACTCTGGCATCTCTGGCAAGAACTGATCTTGTACAGAAAGGTGGCTTAATATGGTAACTGGCAAGAATCTTACTTGGGGGGAGAATTCAGGCTGCGATCATAAGCACTCTGTTCATGTTCTGAAATCTCTTCTCTGGCAGCTTTTTGTCATCCAATACTATATGCCTTGACCTATTCCACTTTTGGACCTAATCAGGGTTGCAGCACCTTTTTTTCAACAGATTTTCCAGAGTTGCCTTGAACAAAATCCTAGTCTTTTAGATACGCTAAAAATTGAAGGAGTTTTTTTCAACTACAAAGGTAAACCTTGTAGGGTAGGCAAGGTGGGTTGTATGACGTCTGTAAGTTCTGGCACTTTTTTTTTTTTTTACAAAAAAAGCATTGGACCTAATTGTCCACTTCTGAAAAATCTCCACCCCAATGTTGCTCTATCACTCTTTTAAAAATTTTAAAAGTTAAATTGTTCGGTTTTTAATGTTTTATTATATTGATTAAACTGTATATCCAAAACCCCTCTGTGAGGGAGATGATCAGTTAAGGTTTGATATATCAATCAATCAATCAATCAATCAATCAATCATACATACTTCCAAATTTCAAGAATTTTCCAGGATAGTGGACCTTGGAGAAGCAGGATAGGAAGAATATTGATAGAAAAGAATATTTGTAGCTCAGGGTTTAAGAAAGGGGTTGTTGGTTTTCTTGCAGATGTTTCATGACCCAACTAGGTAACATCATCAGGGCTAGAAGGAGTGGGGTTGGAGGAGGAGGAGGAGGAGGAGGAGGAGGAGGAGGAGACGACGACGACTCTGGGGTCCTTGGTGCTCTCTGAGCCGGTTTCTTTTCTTGCAGACATTTCATGACCCAACTAGGTAACACCATCAGTGCCAGAAGGGAGTGGCTCTGATTTTATATACTAGCAGCTTGCCCTGTCAGGATTGATGGGAGTGGTCTTGGTAGTAAACAACTGCCTGATCAAGGAACCACCAAGATCACTCCCACCAACTCTGATAGGGCAAGATGCTAGTATATAAAATCAGAGCCACTCTCTTCTGGCACTGATGGTGTTACCTAGTTGGGTCATGAAATGTCTGCAAGAAAACTGCCAAGCTCAGGGAGCACCAAGGACCCCACAGTCCTCCTCCTCCTCCTCCTCCCCTGAACAAGCCCCTCTCCCTTCTAAAACTGATGTTCCCAAGTTGGATCATGAAACGTCTGCAAGAAAACCACCAAGCTCAGAGAGCACTGAGGATCTCACACTCCTCCTCCTCCTCCTCCTCCTCCTCCTCCTCTTCCCAAATACTATTCCCTTCTAGCACTGATGATGTTACCTAGCTGGGTCATGCAACTTCTTCAAGAAAACCACCCAGCTCAGAGAGCACCAAGAACTTCAGAGACTGGTGGCTTTTCCAGAGCCCACCTGTCCCTCAAGTCTACCCCTCTTCTAAAACCCTGAAGGTATTTTACACATACCTCCTTCCTTTGCTATCTCTCTGAAACAAAAACGAGAAGAGTATTCATCCACTCACCTAGGAGCTGGCTGAAGGATCTTTTCGATAAAATCCTTTGCTTCTTTGCTCAAATGACCCCAATCAGAGCTGTTCCACGAAATGATCCCATTCTGGACGTTAAGCAGGGCTGCTCGGTCATTTTCCCCAGCAAAGGGAGACTTGCAGGTCAAGCTGATCGTTTGAAAAGAAAAGACAAAACTTTAAATGGTTTGTATCGGCATAAACCAAGTCTGTCTACATGCAAAGACCTACAGGTAATCCTCAACTTACAGTCATTTGTTGAGTGACTGTTTAAAGTTGCAACGGCACTTAAAAGATGACTTAGGGCCGTTTTTTCACACTTATGACCGTTGCAGCATCCCCCATGGTCACGGGGTCAAAATTCAGAGGCTTGGCAACTGGTTCGTATTTATGACCGTTGCAATGTCATGTGATCCCATTTTGTGACCTTCTGACAAGCAAAGCCAGCGGGGAAGCCATTTAACCACTGCAGTGGTTCCCTTAACAACAGTGGCAAGAAAGATCGTAAAATGAGGCCAAACCCACTTAACCACTGTCTTGCTTAGCAGCAGAAGCATTGGGCTCGACTGGAGTCCTAGTTCGAGGACTTATGTGCGATACGACAAACTTTTAAGGTCCCATATACTTACCTTAAATAGCTAATAACGCCCACCGGCCTATAAGAAAAGGAACAGATGTTAGAAAAGAATTGCAGCGCCCATAAAGCCTTGATAGACCAACCATCTCTGGTTTGGTGCCCTGAAACAGAGTTTCTCAACTTGGCAAATTTAAGATGGGTGGCCAGGATTCCCAAGCCAGCATCTTCAGGTTGCCATGGTTGAGGAACCCTACCCTGAAGGAGGAGCTGGTTTCTTCTACTGTCAGAAGAATCTTCCATTGTTCCTTCGTTTCTCAATAAGTTTGGCCGAAAATAGGGAGCCATGAACCAATAAATCCTGGAGATCAATCCCAACATACAAAAGATTAGAACAGGGAATAGCGATGAGAGGGACTTTGGAGGTCTTCTAGTCCAACCCCTTATTCAAGGCAGGAGACCTTATACCACCCCTGTCAAATGGTTGTCGGTCTCTTCTTGAAAACCTCCAGTGATGGAGCACCCACAACTTCTGGAGGTATTAATTGTCCTAACATTTAGGCAAGAAAACCCAAATGCACAGGTATAGTATAGGGGGTACCTTGCTCAATAGTAGTAACTGTGAGAGGGATCTCGGAGTCCTAGTGGACAATCACCTAAATAGGAGCCAGCAGTGTGCTGCAGCTGCCAAAAAGGCCAACACAGTGCTAGGCTGCATTAACAGAGGGATAGAATCAAGATCACGTTGAGGTAGATGGGAAATGTCATAGGAAAATGTTTTTAAAATGTTTCGTTATATCAATAAGGGGAATAGAGTATTGTAGTATTTGATTGTGCTTAATTGTGCTTAAAATCCATTTAACCTGTGTGCCAATTCTAAAGAGACAACCTTTTACAAGAAGTGCCAACTGAAAGTCACAGATGGTGTAAGATATTACCGCCTAGGGAGGTGAGGCAAGATAAGCCTTCTGTATGAACTTCTTCTTTTCTTCTGTGTGGTCTCTAGACATGAACTTCTCCGTTTAGTGTGTTAAAGGTAGATAAGAAGTCATCCATTGGGGTAGGCGTGGGTGGCAAGCGGTAGAAGAATGACACGCTGGAAATAGCCCAGTGTTCAGAATCTGTCATGCTAATGCTCTGAACCATTGTGCACAAATAAACCTGTCTTCTCCAACCCTTCGTGGTCTTGTCTTCTGATGTAAGTATCGTGGTTTTTTCCACAACAACGTGAAGTATTAATACCACTTTACAAGGCCTTGGTAAGGCCACACTTGGAATCCTGCATCCAGTTTTGGTCACCACAATGTAAAAAAGATGTTGAGACTCTGGAAAGAGTACAAAGAAGAGCAACAAAGATGATCAGGGGACTGGAGGCTAAAACATGTAAGGAACGGTTGCTGGAATTGGGTATGTCTAGTTTAATGAATAGAAGGACGAGGGGGGACAGGATAGCAGCCTTCCTATATCTCAGGGGCTGCCCCAAAGAAGAGGGAGTCAAGCTATTTTCCAAGGTGCCTGAAGGCAGGACAAGAAGCAACGGGTGGAAACTAACCAAAGAGAGAAGCAACCTAGAACTAAGGAGAAACTTCCTGACAGTTAGAACAATTAACCAGTGGAACAACCTGCCTCCAGAAGTGGTGAATGCTCCAACACTGGAAGTTTTTAAGAAGAGACTGGACAGTCATTTGTCTGAAATGGTATAGGGCTTCCTGCCTGAGCAGGGGGTTGGACTAGATGACCTCCAAGGTCCCTTCCAACTTTATTATTATTATTATTATTATTATTATTATTATTATTATTATTATTATTATTATTATTGTTGTTGTTGTTGTTGTTGTTGTTGTTGTTGTTGTTGTTGTTGTTGTTGTTGTTGTTGTTTCTTCTTATTTCCAGGTTGGGTCTTTCTCTGATGAGCTTCCACCCATTTCTTCTTATGCCCTCTGGTGTTTTAGACAATAGATTGATCCCCTCTTCTCTGTGACAAGAATCAGAAGAAAGTTATCATATCCCTCCCCCCCCCCCGACTCTTCTCTTTGATAAGCTAGACATACCTGGGTCACTCAACCATTCATCATATGAATTTAGCTTCTAGAGTTTTTATCAANTTCCCCCCCCCCCCCCCGACTCTTCTCTTTGATAAGCTAGACATACCTGGGTCACTCAACCATTCATCATATGAATTTAGCTTCTAGAGTTTTTATCAACTTTGTTTCTCTTCTCTGTACTCTTTCTAGGGTCTCAACATCCTTTTTGTATTATAGTGACCACCACTGGACACTGTATTCCAAGTTAGCCTCACCAGTGCAGTATAAAGTGGTACTATTGCTTCTTGTGATCTTGATGCTATCCCTCTGTTAGTGCAGCTCAGGACTGCATTGGTCTTTTTTGCAGCTGATACTCAAGTGGTGATCCAATGATACACCTAGATCCCTCTCACAATTGAAACTTCTGAGCCAGCTGCCGCCTATTCTATAACTATGCATTTGGTTCTCACTGCCTAAATGTAGAACTTTACTTTTCTTCAGTGTTGAAACTACATTTTGTTGGATAAGGATCTAAGATCCAAGTTTGAAATTTCCTGACAGTTAGAACAATTAATCAGTGGAACGGATTGCCCCCAGATGTTCTGGTTGCTCCAACACTTTTAAAGAAGAGATTGGACAACCATTTGTCTGAAATGGTATGGAGTTTCCTGCCTGAGCAGGGGGCTGGACTGGAAGATCTTCGAGGCCCCTTCCAACTATGTTATTCTTTTCTGTTATTCAGTTATTCTAAAACTTTAGCCCAGGGGTGTCAAACTCAATTTCACTGAGGGCCGCATCAGCATTGCAGTTGCCCTCAGGGGGCCAGGTGGGTGTGGCCAGAATGGGTGCAACCTACTGGGTGGGCGTGGATGGCGTGGGTGTGGCCTACTGGGTGGGCGTGGCCAGCTCTACATCATTCGCATCAAGGGTGCCTGTGGGGGGGCCTGGGCAAGAGTGGGACAGATCTGAGGGTCTCTGGCAGAAGGGGGTGGGACCGGGGCAAGTGCCAAGGCATAGTCCACCGGGGCAAGTGCTAAGATGGCACCCAAAAAATTGTACATTGGCTCCCGGCTGGCCTGGGCCAGGGCCAAGGCAGCGGGGGCCATTCCCTCACTGTTTCCAGGATGGCTTCGCGGGCCACCTGAAACCACTTCACGGGCCGCATCCAGCCCCCAGGCCTTGTGTTTGACATGTCTGCTTTAGCCTATCTTCTAAAGCAGGGGGTAGTCAGCCTTGGCTCTTTTATGACTCGTGGACTTCAACTCCCAGAATTCCTGTTCTAAAGCGTTGGCTGTTCCTTCTAGTTAAATGTCATCTGCAAATTTGATGAGTTTCCTTTCTATCCCCTCGTCTAGATCACTTATGAAGATGTTGAAAAAGACTGAACCTTGGGGCATGCCACTACATGCTTCCCTCCATGTAGATGTATTCCACTGAAGAGCACACATTGAGTGCGGTTGGTCAGCCATTTTGAATCCATCTGTTGGTGATGCTTTCTATCCTTCATTGTTCTGTCTTACCAAGAAGTAGGTTGTGGTCTACTTCATCCAATGCCTTACTGAAGTCTAAGCATATTATATCCACAGCATTTTGCTGGTCCACTAATTTAGGGTTAACCTAAATTCTCCACTGATCTTCAAGAAGGTTCACCAAAAGCAGCAAGGAAAGCTAGAGCAAAACTAGAAGGAATGAGAAGTGAGAGGATTCATTTACCAGATGTCCGAGGCTGTTGATACTGGGGACCGGGACAGAACTTCTGGTGGGACAAATTCTGGAGATCCGTAAGTGCTGTACTGAGACTCCGACGGATTTATCCTTTGGGCGAAGCCAAAATCGCAGATCTTAAGGTCATCCCTGTTGGGGTGGACCATCAAAATGTTTGAGGGCTGCAGAAGTGGAAAGAGAAGGGAATATTGGTAGGGAAAAGAATCAAGGCATAAAACCTGTCGGTGAACAAGGGAACTCAAAGTGGTTTTCCTGGCTGAAATTCTGAGATACAGGATAGTCCTCAACTTACCACCCAAATCTCTGTTGCTGAGACATTTGTTAAGCGAGTTTTGTCTCATTTTACGACCTTTCTTGCCACAGTTGCTAAGTGAATAACTGCAGTTGTTAAGTTAGTACGGTTGTGAAGTGAATCTGGCTTCCCCATTGCTTGTCAGAAGGTCGCCAAAGAGGGATCACGTCACCCCTGGACACTGCAACCGTCATAAATATGAGCCAGTGGCCAATTTTAATCACATGACCATGGGGATGCTGCAACGGTCGTACAGTACGTGTGAAAAATGGTCCTAAGGCACTTTTTTCAATGCCGTTGTAACTTTGAACGGTCACTAAACAAACTGTTGTAAGTTGAGGACCACCTGTACTTCAGAAGGCCCCCAATTCTGTTTAAGCAAGAGGTCCTCTTTGTGGTCCTTTGGAGATTGCAGAGATAGAAGAGAGATGGTGGGAACGGACCAGAAGAAGAAATCGACAGAAATGGTAAAAAAAGAAAACAAGAAATGAATCTTAGCAACTTCACTGCTAGATGGCAATTCAGCCTAATTATCATGTTTTCCCCAAAATAAGACCCAACTGGAAAATACGCCCTAGCATGATTTTTCAGGATGCTTTTTTAAATAAGTTTTTTATTGATTTTCTATTATTACAAATCATAAATGCTTAGTAAACAAATGTGATGTCCAGATATATTTCTTACTCAATGTTGCATCTTAACTTCAATATTAATCTATTCAATGCTACACAATCCAGTGGGGTTTTTTTCCCTGTCTTCTTCCCCTGATGTTTTCATTTTCTCAACATCAAACAAATACAATTCTTACTGCTATTAATACATACAAAATTAGATATACACACCCTCTTCATATTTATCTAATGCTATACAAATAACAATAGTATCAATTTATAACCTCTTTTCTAACCACTTTATATTTAAATTGTATTTGCAATTAAAGTCTCCTTATTAAATCAGTGTCCTGTTTTTCGAGCTCTTAAGTTTAATTTCCCATCAGTATTCAAAATATCTTTGTCAGTTATGATTTTCTCAAAGTTAGTTACAATTGTGTAGCCGAAGGTTTCATTTATACAAGCCATGCTAGTGTTTTTATAATTCCCATATCAAAAGAAAGTGCTATTCTAATTATAAATCATATCTTTCTTATTATAAAAAGCTATTTGTATCTATGTGTTATCTATTCTTTGCAAATATTGGCTCATAATACTCCATCTGGTATGTCAGATCTGTTTTTTGAGTCTAACTCTAGCTTTCCAGGCCAAAGTAATTAAATCATCAACAAATTCTTCCTTTGTTTTTGTAAATACTGCTAGGAATGGGAAAAACAATTTAAGTAGGGTATTTTTGAGGGGGAATTCCGCCCAATTATATTCATTAAACAACTCCCACTTTCCTTTTCCCTCGATTTCTCTTTTCATTTTTTTGTCTCCCAATTTCTGACATTTCCCCTAACAGCTTTATAATCTGTTTTTTAAAATTGTCTCCCTTATCTTCAGGTATATTTTGAAAACCTAAAGAATAAGGTGCCTTTTCCATTTCCATTGTTGTAGCTAAGTCTTGCAGATTTTTAGTTGTCAATTTTTTCTTTCTCTCCAAATAGTTCTTAAGATTAAAAGTCAGAGCTCAGTATATGTTTATAATCCAAGAAGGTCAACAGGTTTCAAAACAATTAGGTTCTCACACTGTAGTAAGTATGCCAAAATATTTTTCTCTGTTGCCAGCTGTTCTCTGTTGAGTTAAAAGTCACCAAACAACAAAGAAAGTAGGTTGTTATCTGTTTCTAGACTTTTTGCCAGGTCTGTTTCAGTCATTGCAGCTCTGGTGCTATACTCTAGTCCAGTGGTTCTCAACCTATGGGTAGCGACCCCATTTGGGGTTGATCGACCATTTCACGGGGGTCGCCAAGCAAGGCTGTCCGCCATTTTTTTCCCCTTTTCCGGCGGGTGCCTTACCTCCCTTGGGCTGGGCCAGCTGGTGGTCGGCCTGCTCCATCTCTGCCACTTGCCAGCTACGCCTCGGCCGGCGCACGGGGCGGAACCACGCATGCGCGGCGTTCCCGGGCAGGGAAAGTCCTTGACTTACGACCGGTTGGGTAGTCCTTGACTTACGATTGGTTTAGTCCTCGACTTATGACCGGTTGGGGGTCACGGCATTAAAAAGGTTGAGAACCACTGCTCTAGTCCACCACTAGATGATCATTCAATATCCATTTTCCAATTCTTAATATAGAAGGTTGATTTCTTATATTTCACACCAGTATTTTTTCAAACAGAAAATCTTAACAATTTTCTCAATTCTCATATTTGTTAAAACTATATATTACTTCCACTTGAATGTTAAATGTTTCTGTCCCCCATAAAAAAATTAAAACGCCGCTTCTGTTCCTCTGGAAGGGTGACGCTGCAATCCCCTTCCTTCTTGCATTTAGAGGTTTTTAGCTTCTTGGGAACCTTTTCCAGGAAATCCAGTTGTAAAATAGTAAAAAAAGGATCAATATTCTCACCCAGTTCCAAACACACTGTTTACGATCTGCTAAGCTAATTAGTGCTTCTTTCTTCAGTTGCCAGTAGCTGGAAGCTGGCCACAGGAGTGCAGCCAGTCTTTCCCCTGGCGATTTAGAGGGCTTTCCTCGGATCAAATGGATCGACTGCTATCTCTCCGTGATCAACAAGGCACCCCTCCTTCTTCATTGCCTCTCCGGGGCGATTTTAGGCCCTTTTAGGGCCCCCTGCATGGCGAAATCAGGTGCAGAAAACAGAGCCCTGCATTCCTGCATTCGTGTCGCTACGACATGAAACCGGAAGTCATGTTATGTTATGTTATGTTATGTTATGTTATGTTATGTTATGTTATTATATATTAATTTTATTTTTTTCTTATTTTAATTTTATTTATTTTCTTTTCTTTTAAATTTTATTTTATTTTATATCCTGCCTTTATTATTTTTACAAGTAACTCAATATGGCAAACATATCCAACATACCTTTATTCTCCTATTTTTCCCACTGCAACAACCTTGTGAGGTGGGTTAGGCTGAGAGTAATAGCCCAAAAGTCACCTATTTGGCTTCCATGCCCAAGACAGGATTAGAACTCACTGTCTCCTGGTGTTTGGTCCAAAGTCACCCAGCTGGCTTTCCTATATAAGGTAGGACTAGAACTCACTGTCTCCTGGTGATTTTGGCCAATCACCAGGAGACAGTGAGTTCTAGTCCTGCCTTAGGTATGAAAGCCAGCTGGGCTATCACTAAAATGCTTAGCCGGCTTTCATGGCTAAAGCAGGATTAGAACTCCCAGGCTTCTTGTGATTGGTCAAAACTCACCTGTTTGGATTTCATGGCTAAGGCAGGACTAGAACTCACTGCCTCCTGGTGATTGGCCAAAATCACCCAGCCGGCTTTCACATCTAAGGCGGGAATAAAATCCCCAGTCTCCTGGTGATTGGCCCAAAGTCTCCTACCTAGCTTTCATGCCTAAAGCAAGACTAGAAACTAAATAGGCACGAGCACCCAAGGTTTATAAAAATTTACCTTGATGTCCAAATGTAGTATTTCATTGCTGTGAAGGTACAAGATCCCTTCTAGAAGTTGCTTGATATAGAATTTGACCTATTTCAGAAGGGGGAAAAATATAAAGTTATGGAAGTCACATAGAAAAGCATCATGGAACAGGTTTGTCTAGATCAGGAGTGGCGAACCTATGGCACGCGTGCCAGAGGCGGCACTCAGAGCCTTCTCTGTGGGCACGTGTGCCATCGCCCCAGCCCCGCCTCCTCCCACAACGCCCTCCTCACCAGCAGCCCCCCCAGAGAAGAGTCACCCCGAGCATGGCCAGCGCAGAGCAGCGCATCCAAGGACATGGCAGTCAGGCAGCGGGGACAAGACTCCGCCCTCGCGCCCTGTCGCATGCAGTTGATGCTGTGGGGCGTGGGTGAAGGGTGTGGCCACCATGACGCTGCTGGGCTGCCTGGGTGATCTGTGTGGAGGTGGTGAGTGGCCCTGCAGGTGGGTGGGGTGGGGGACGGGGCGGGGGCAGAGCGGGGCTGGCAGGGCAGGGGCGGTTTTTGGGCACTCAGTCTCTAAAAGGTTCGCCATCACTGGTCTAGACTTTGCAACCATTTGCCCCCCAAAAATCAGTCTGCCCCCCCCAATTCAATTGACTTTCTGCATGATGTTTAAAAATGAAGTTTTTACTTCATTCGCTTCTCTTGAACAAATATTCTCTTCTACCAGTACTGAGAATTACATTGGGAGCCAGCTGGGGATAAATGGAAGTTGAGTCTATAACATCAGAAAAAAAATTGAGCTGGGGTAGGAGGGTTGGCTGAATTCAACTATCCTCGTTTGTCTTAAACACTTTAGATCCTCTCCCTAAAATACTCAAGGAAGGAATCCCACCTCTGCTTCCGTCACCATGTTCTTCTTGTAGAGGCGATCCAGAAGCTCTTCATTGGAACATCTAATAATCCGTTAAGGAATATGGACCAAGCCTTCGAGTTGGGCAAGCAAATGAATCAAAAAAATCCTTCAAAAATTCACTCTCCCCTTATGGCCAAACAATTCAGGCTGAGAAAGAGGGACTGGCCCAAGACATTTGATACCCCCATAACTTCAAGATGGGACTTGAAGGACCGATAGAATATGTGTAGCTTCGGCTGAACTGTGGAGGCCTTGATGCTTTCTGAACTTGGTCGTTTTCTTGCAGACGTTTCATGGCCCAACTAGGAAACATCATCAGTGCTAGAGTGGGGTGGGGTTCTAGCTTCTAACACTGATGAAGTTACCTAGTTTGGTAATAAAACATATGTCAGAATATTACCAAGATCAGATGGCCCCAAGGTTCCCACGGTCTTCCTCTCCCTCTTCCTCTTTGTCCTCCTCCTCCTCCCTTCAACTTCACTCCCTTCTAGCAATGATGATACTACCTAGTTAGGTCATGAAAGATTTGCAAGAAAACAACCAAACTTAGACCGCATCAAGAACCCCCCAGTTCTCCTCCTCCTCCTCCTCCTCCTCCTCCTCCTCTTTGCAACCCCCCTCCCTTCTAGAGCTCATGATGTTCCCTAGTTGGGTCATGAAGCATCTGCAAGAAAACCACCACTTCATAGAGGACTGAGGACCCCACTGTTCAACAGTGAGCTACAAATATTCTCTTCTGTCAGCTTACACCATCCTGAGAAACAGAGGTGTGGGAGAAAGAAATAATCCCACCTTGATGGCGTTTAAAGTAGGAATGGGATAGAAACCAATTTGGAGAAGCTTTCAAGATTCTAATAGCAGACCTTACAAACAGCAAAGGAGCATTTGTGATGCCTGTTTCTTGATCTAGCCCACCTTAGCAAGGAAGGAACACTGAGGACTAGTGTCTGAACACCATCTCCTTTCATATCTTTCTTTATTCCTCTTTTCAGGGGCAAAAAGGATACAGTTCCAAAACAAGAATTAAGGTTTTCCGTGTTTCAAACTGGTCCAGCAGTTGAGTGATTCGGTCGTGGGAAAGCTGGACTAGAATATCTCTCTCCCGGTAAGCTCGTTCCCTCGTTCGACTTCGCAGCGGGATGAATTTGGCTGCACAAGCCACACGGTTGGCTTTATGGATGACTCTCTTGAGAATGCTGAAGGAGCCCCTGAAAACCGTTAAATATTCAGAGAATGAAAGGGTAAGTTCAAATCTTGAGTTTGGGGGGGGGAAGGTTCCCCTGGTGTCGTATTCCCCCCCCTCCAAAAAAATAATAGTAGATGCTAAGGGGGAAAAAAATCACTTTTACCTTCCTATTTCCTGTTTAACCTCATAGAAAGAATGAAGTTTTCTTCGTGGGCTTCGCTTCTTCACCTCTTGACTTTTCTTGTCTACAATAAACAGAATAAGAACCAGAGTGGTGACAATGACGTATGGGAAGATCTGAAAGAAATGCTATTTGCCTTCCAAGCAAGAACTGGTAGGACCATCAAATACAGGTAGTCCTCAGCTTAGGACCACAACAGAGCCTCAAATTTCTGTTGCTAAGCAAGACAGTTGTTAAGTGAGTTTTGCCCCATTTTAGGACCTTTCTTGCCATACTTGTTAAGTGAATCCCTGCAGTGACACAACGGTTGTTCAGCGAATCTGGCTTCCCCTGTGACTTTGCTTGTCAGGAGATCACAAAAGGGGATCACGTGATCCAGGACAACCGTCATGAATAAGAGCCGGTCAGCAACTGACTCATAGTACGAAATACGAAATAAACTGACTCATAAATATGAATCAGGCAGCAGAAGCTTCTTGGATAAAAAGCAAAACCCTTTCAAAGGGGAAAAAAAACCAAGAAAGTCCAGTTGCTTTTTGGAAAAAGCATCTTTGGGACAACCAAGACCTGGGTGATTGAGAATCTCCATAGATCTCTAGCGTGGGAGCTGGAGAAAAAAGACAAAATACAAAGACCTGCAAATAGAAATAGAACGACTGTAAGGGACCATGGAGGTTTTCTATCTAAACCCTTGCCCAGGCAAGAGACTCTATCCCAGTCCAGATTAATAATAATAATAATAATAATAATAATAATAATAATAATAATAATAATAATGATGATGATGATGATGATGATGATGATGATGATGATGATGATGATGATGATGATGATAAAGTTGGAAGGGACCTTGGAGGTCATCGAGTCCAACCCCCTGCTCAGGCAGGAAACCCTATACCATTTCGGACAAATGGCTGTCCAGCCTCTTCTTCAAAACTTCCAGTGTTGGAACATTCACCGCTTCTGGAGGCAGGTTGTTCCACTGGTTAATTGTTCTCACTGCCAGGAAGTTTCTCCTTAGTTCTAGGTTGCTTCTCTCTTTGGTTGCTTCTTGTCCTGCCTTCAGGCGCCTTGGAAAATAGCTTGACTCCCTCTTCTTTGTGGCAGCCCCTCAAATATTGGAAGACAGTTATCATGTTCCCCCCTAATCCTCTTTGATAGACTAGACATACCTAGTTCCCACAATTGTTCATACAATGTCACCTTAGCAAGGAAGGAAGGAGGATGGGAAGAAGGGAAGGGATGGGGTGAAACAGAAGAAGGAAGGAAGGAAGGAAGGAAGGAAGGAAGGAAGGAAGGAAGGGAAGGAGGGAGGGAGGGAGGGAGGGAGGGAGGAAGAAAGGAAGAAAGGAAGAAAGGAAGGGGAAGGGGATGAGATAGAAGAGAGGAAGGAAGAAAGGGAGGGAGGGAGGGAAGGAAGGAGGGAGGGAAGGAAGGAGGGAGGGAGGGAGGGAAATAAAGAATGAATGAGAAGAAAGCCACCAAGCCAACATACCTTCCTGTACCACCAGCTCCGCTTTGCAGACCACCTCCCCTCCGGCGTTTTTAGCCATGCACGTGTAGACCCCGCCATCTTCGGCCTGAGCGTTGTACAGGATCAGAGAGTAGCTGGTGCCTTCCTTGGACTGGCAGATCCTTTCGCTGTCCAGCAACAAGGAAATTCCCTGGAAGGAAGAAGGGGGGAAAGCACGTAAAATTAGGTAGATGGCCGGAATTTCAGCCCTTCGCCTGGACTCCAGCCAGGGGCAGCCCCGTTCTTAAACTCCTGGTCTAAGAATGGGGGAAGGTTTGCCCCAAGACAAAAGTAGGAGTTATGATGTGATATTTATAAACACAGGTAGTCCTTGACTTACAAGAGAAAGGGAGGTCGCAAGAAGGGAAATACGTGATTCTGGGACACGGCAACCGTCATAAATACGACACTGAAAAAAGGGACTTGTATTTATGACGGTTGCCGTGTCCCAGAATCACGTATTTCCCTTCTTGCGACCTCTTGATCAGCAAAGTCGATGGGGAAGCCAGATTCGCTTAACAACCATGTGACTAACTTAAAAACTGAAGGGATTCACTTAACAACTGTGGAAAGAAAGGACATAAAGCGGGGAAAAACTCACTTAATAACTGCCTTGCGTAGCAATGGAAGTTTAGGCCTCCGTTGTGGTCGTATGTTGAGGACTGCCTGGAATTATTTTCTCCAAAACAGTGTGCAGTTTTTCAGCCCACAGCTGAATAAACGGGTCCGTAGAGGTTTCTTTTTTCTTTTTTTTATTTCCACCTAAGTTTGGGTGTCTCTTTGACCTACCTTAAACCATCCGATAACCGGCTGAGGGTGGCCTTCAATCGTGGCCTGGAACTTGGCCATTTCCCCACACCGAACCTGGACATCCTCAAGAGGGACCTGCATGTACGGTGGGCCTAATAAAAGAAAAATACGAAGTCCAATTGGACAGGTACACAGCTTGGTTATTTTCTTGCAGACGTTTCATGACCCAAGTAGGTAAGGCCATCCATGCTAGAAGAGAGTGGGGTTTGTGGAATGGGTGAGGGGAAGGAAGAAGAGGAGGAGGGGGGAAAAGGAGGAGGAGGAAGGGAGGAGAGGGAGCAAAGGAGGAAGGGAGAAGGGAAAGAGGAGGAGAAGGAAGAGGAACAAGAAGAGCAAGAGAAAGGGGAAAGAAGGAGGAGAGGAAGAGGAAGAAGAAGAGGAAGAGGAAGAGGAAGGGTAAGGGGAGGAGGAAGAGGAAGAAGAAGAGAAAGGGGAGGAGGAGGGGGAAGGGG